CATCAGTTAACATCTGTGACCATTACCCAATCCGACGGTGGAAATAATTGCCTGTCGTGAATCGTGTTATCGATTAGAAATCTCTTACCTGTCCCGTGCGGGTATTTTGTTCCTTTGTTTTTTTTCCCCCCCGCAATGCCTCGTATTCTTCTCAAAATTCTTCCTGTAATCATTTTCTCATTTGACTCGAAAGTCACATTTCCACAATTTTTTTCATTCAATAAATAAATAAATAAATAAACCTCTAAAACGATTCCGTTTCAAGCCTATAGGTCAACACCTTTGATATTATATTCAACAGAACTAGGTGACTACATGCATGAATAATGAAAACAATGTGTTTGGTACAACTTATTTTATTCTTCGATGGGAAAATATTTTCCAATTATTCTTCACGTTAAGTTCATATGATTTAAACTAAATGAACAAGCTTATATTTCCAAGTTCACACTTGATTGAACCAAGACTTGAAATGTATAATTCGTGTGAAATGAATTGATTTGAACAATTATACATATTTTCTCCATTTTTACTGATGAATTTTTGTCCATCTCACATCCAAATCACGTAATCATTTTTCCATTCACAAATTTAAAAATCTAAGATAAAATAAACTTATTATTAAAAACATACATTTTCATCATTTAAACATTTCTCAATTACTTATTTACGGTATTATTTCTTAATCATTTCTCAATTTAAATACATTTTATTGTTAATTCTCATGAAGAGAGTAATAATCGATCAAATTAAATTCATTGATTTTTTTTATTTTCTCCATAAATAAAAAATTTATCAAAGATTTCATGTTTTTAACTAATAAATCATTTTTACACAAAATATAAAAGAAAAATAATCGTAACCCAAAGTCTAAAATCCATGTAAGTCAATCAAGAACTTGATTGTATTCAATGAATCGTATTATTCACATTACTTTTAAAAAAATAAAAAATAAAAAGATAATAATAATAATAATTGTTCAAACTTTATATCCAACACACTTTATATGATATACGTGTGTATAAAAAAATATAACATGTAAAATGCAACTAGGACCGCAATTTTGTCACCAACTACTACATTTCCATAGTTTTACCACAAAACTAGGAATGTCATGTCTCAATCTAATTCATATGTATTGACTATAAAGGAAACACGTAATTCCTAACTTTTTATTATTTTTTAAAATATTTGAATTAAATTTGTATCTAAAATTTTTGTTAAAATTAAAGAACTATTAGGTATATAGATTTAAAGTTGAAACGTAAACAAAGATGACTATGCTCTCCATGCCTAACTAGAAAAGGACCTTACTTAACCCTGGGACCAAACTGAACCCTTTCGATTATGAAACAATCACGTGGAAAACCGCGTGAATTAGCGGCCGCTAATAATTGGATTTTAATACAAATATAATTATGATTATCAACAGGTACGGACGGCGGCCTTAGTCCCCCCCTCCAAGCCCCAATCGTACCACACCAGCCGCTTGACAAAACAGGCTTCGGCCAATGCCTAATCAGAACTTTTACTACT